GGCTGAGGGGAGCAGCGGGCGGGTCAGGAGTGGTCTGCTGTGCTGTGTGGGTCACCTCCGGGGCAGGGATCGAACTCATGCGGAAGTGGCTTTAGCTTCTTAGTGCTGTGCTTTTACCTGCTGTGCCACTAGGGAGGGCCTGAAAGAAGCTATTATTCAAAGAACTTAGCTGCTACCAAGTGAATGAATGACCTTCCTTCAGAAGCTCCTTAGTGCTGAATAGGGCATCATCTTTGGTAGGACCGAACATCCCACAGTGCCTGGCACACAGGTGGTGCTTAGAAAATATTCATTTGTGTGGAAAAACCACACGTGACAGTATAGAATCAAGTTGCTCTGGGAGGTGGGATGGCAGTGGAGCCAGAATGAATGTCAAGGGCTGCTGAGCCAGAAGGTGGCGATGTTGAGCACAAAGGGGACTTAGGTGGGTAGAGGTGACGGGTGGGGAGAGGTGAGCGGTCAGAGCACAGCAGGAGCAGAGGCCAGAGGGTAGCATTAATGAGGTGTGAGGAGCCAGCCTGGCCACACTGCAGAGGTGCTGGAAACTTGGGGCACAAGAGGGAAAGCAGGAGGCAGAGGCTGTGGCTTCTGGAGGGCCCCTGGCAGAGCTCAGGAAGCTGCTGGGAGTCCCAGGTCCCAAATGCGGCCCCTGCCTGGTGACCAGCTGGGTGGAGGTCAGGTCTGTTGGAGCCCTGCCTCATTCCAGCCTCACTGGAGGCTTTGTTTTCTTTTGTCCTTTTGCTTTGCTTTTGTTACTCTTTCACTTTTGGTACGCTTGTGTTTCCTCTGTGCCTCCTCCCCTTGCCCCACCTCCTCACCCAGTGAGCTCCTTTCTGGCCTTTCTGGCAGGAGAGGCATAAATAAACAGATATATTTGGATAGTGCTTTATCATCTACAAATACTTTCCTCATGGTCTCATGCCACCCTCCTGGTGATGACGCTGAGAGGTAGCTTTCCCACCCCCACTTGTAACAGTTTTCTAAAAGAATGACATTAGACATGATATGAGGAACATAAAGCAGCCAGAAAAAAATTTCAGAAAACTAGAAGTCCACATTCATACTTCTGTCTTGTCAATTTCTCTTTTCTCTCAGTAACCACCGGGGGAGTAATTTGGGGTGTACCCTTCTAGACCTGCAGCGTCCAAGCCTGGATCTGCTGTTATCTGTGACTTCCGAGTACTTGAAACAGAGCGAGTCCCAACTGAGATGTGATTTTTGAGTGAAATATGGTTGCATTTCAAAGGTTTAGGGTGAAAAAATTATGTAAAACAGCTCATTAATGGTTTTATATTGATTCAGAATGACACTGTTTTCAGTGGATTGGCTTAAATTAAATATGACTAAAATCAATTTCTCCTATTTCTTTTGGCTTTTTGGGATGTGGCTCACATTATATTTTTCTTGCATAGCACTGTTCCAGATCCTTCTCTATTATTTACATATGTATGTGCACCCATAAATATTTATCTATTTTTGTCTATAGTTTCATTTACATTGAGGAGATGTCTCTCTTTCTGTGACTTGCTTTCCACTTAAAGATCTTTCCATATCGGCGCATACAGATCAAGGCCAGATGTGGAAACTGAGGCAATTTAAGCTCACTCAGACACAGTGACCAAGGTGGCATTTGATCTCACATCCTCTAACTCCAAACCCAAACTCCTTCTGCCTCAGGGGAGTCAAATCTGCTGTACTAGGTTATGAGAAGCCACGGTAGGTTCTTGAGTTAAAGAAAGAGGTGAAAGAAAAATACCGGATGGTTTCACTCATAGCAGGAGTATAATGGACCAGGCGAGAAAATAACAAAAATAATGAACAACCATAGACCAGAGACATTCTGTGGGGGTGGAGTGGGGAATGGGATCAAAAACGGGGGGGGGGGAAGGGAGGGAAATGCACGGGACTATGGTGGTGGCACAGGGGTGATTTGGTGATGGGAAACCCGTGGGGATTACAATGGAGATGACAAAAAAATGTGCAAAATGATGTAAAAATAAACTTTTTAATAAAAAAAAAAGTAAAAAAAAAGAAAGAGGTGAAGTTGTATTAAGGGAATTGACCTAACTGGGGTGTCGGTGTGCACTGGAATGAAGACAACTGAGTTCCCGATTGCAGCTACTTGGAAGTTAAACCTTGGCCTCCAGGACTTTGAAAGGGCTTAGGCTGGTACTGACCTCTTTTTCACTCTAGGCCTTGGCTGTGGTCAGCACAAGGGTGCAGCAGAGCTGGCGGCATCGAGAGACCAGGCCCATGTGCTCTACCCATGAAAGTTCCTTCCAACCCGCCCAGTTCCTATTGCTGGTGGGGGTGCCAGTGGCCAGTGCCCTCCTTCTGGCTCAGTGCCTTCGATGGCACTGTCCTCGCTGGCTGCAGCGGACCTTCTGCAATCCGGATAGCCAAGACGAGCCTGTGTCCCAGCCCACTGCCCCACCAGGAAATGAATCCCCAAGGCAGGGCCTGCCAGCCCCGCTGCCAGAGATGGCCGCCTTCTATCAGGAACTGCACACCCCCACCCAAGGCCAGACTGTCGTCCGAGAGCTGATGAACAAACTGTTGGTGTTTTCGGCTCGAGAGGTGGATCACCGGGGTGGCTGCCTGATCCTCCAGGATACGGGCATCTCCCTGCTCATCCCACCAGGTAACCGCACCCAGACCCCTTCAGAGGGCATGTTACTCGTTCTGAGGGTGCTGCCTCATTCAGCCACATCTTCATAATTCTGAAAGTTGCTTGTATTTTCAGTATGACTCTGTTGACTCTGAAGATGGATAGGTTATGTATTTTTATGACAAATTCCTGGCAGGTGGGAATAAAATGCCTTGTTCGAATGAACAGCATGTTGGGACGACTCTCTAACAAAGAGACGTCGTATCTGGAGGAAAAGCAGCTTTTGCAAATTAGCACCAGGGCCCTTGTGGGTCAGCAGTAGCCCTGGGAGGGTGGGAGTGGCTTGTTACAGCAGCCCACCAGCTTTTCCTCCATGCTGCTTCTGGGGTGCCCTGTGGGCATCCTCTCTTCTGGGCGCCTACCCCACCCCCTGGTACTCCAGCCAGGACTCTGGGCGGTGGGGTGGGGGGAGAAGAGATGCATCTACCTGCCAGGCCCATCTCAGCTCCCCCCCTCCCCAGGTGCCGTGGCTCTGGGCCGCCAGGAGCGGGTGTCTCTGATCCTGGTGTGGGACCTGTCAGATGCCCCTTCACTGTCCCACACCCAGGGGCTGGTGAGCCCAGTGGTGGCATGTAGCCCTCATGGGGCCTCCTTCCTGAAGCCCTGCACTCTCACGTTCAAGCACTGTGCCCAGGAGCCCATCCAGGCCCGCACCTATAGCAGCAACACCACCCTGCTGGATACTAAGGCCTGGAAGCCCCTGGGGCGGTTGGGGGCCCACACCTCCCGGGACGAGTGTCGCATCAAACTCTCCCACTTCAGGTAGGTGGGGGCCCAGAGCCCGTCCTTCCCACCCGCTTCTTTGTGTCTCCTCGTTGTCTCTTATGGAACTGCCCAGACGACCTGCTGATTCCTTATCTGCTCGTGTCTCTTCGCTGCCCTCTGACCCTCTGTCTGGGGCTGCTTGTCTCTCCCCCTGACTCTGTCCAGGACGACACAGCCTGCCATGCTGCTGCCTCCGTGTGTCGAGAAAGGCCTGACTCAAGCCCAGCCCTCCATCTGGAGGCGACTGGTTCCACCCCTATTCTGTGTCTAAAATTATCTGTTTCTTCCCTGCACCCTGGTTCAGGACTGCCCCAACTGTCTCAGGTAGTTTGTTCCCCTCCAGACACATTCATCTCATCTGTCTTCAGCTCTTCCTAGACTCTTCAGCCATCTGCCTCCCAAATTTCCTTGCCACCCGCTGACCAGAGCAAGGCCATGTGTGGGACCCCTTCCCAAGCCTGGTCGCCCCACACCCCCTTCCTTCCCTCCCTGTGGGCGAATACTGGCTGGTTCCTCTTGCTGATTGCGGCTGTGGGGTGACTCACTTGTCTTCTCCCTGGCCGGCCTTGCCCTCCCAGACCCTCCCTAGACATGCCTTAGACCACTCTTCTCTCCCTGGTGGCCCTGGGCCTGCCAGAGCTGGGTGGCCGCACACTGTCCCCGGCCCCACCCAGTGCACGGCCCCCCATCTCTCCCTCCACAGCCTCTATACCTGCGTGCTGGAGGCTCCAGTGTGCCAGGAAGCCCGCAAGTGGCTGCAGCTGGCTCTATTTTGCTCCCCGCTGGCACCAGGACAGACCCACCTGCAGCTGAGAGTCTACTTCCTCAACAACACACCCTGCGCCCTGCAGTGGGCCTTGACCAACGAGCAGCCCCATGGCGGGCGCCTCCATGGGCCCTGTCAACTCTTTGATTTCACCAGGGCCCGAGGGGACCAGTACCTGAAGCTCAAGTACATCTCTGAGGGTGAGGGAGGCTGGGTTCTGGGGACAATGTGTGGTGGTTGGGGGGGAGACTTTCGCTGGGGTGAAAATCTGGGAACCTCCAGTGTCTTTGGGGCACAGCTGGGCAGGCAGAAGCTTTAGGGGGACCTTCTGGCTTCTACATAGGCCTTAGGGAGCCCCCCCAGCTCCTGCACCCAGGTGTTGCCTGGGTGCACCCAGCCCTGGCTCCTTGGAGGAACAGTGATATGGGATGGAAGAAATGAGGGGAGGTGTTGTGCCTGCAGAGGCAGGGAGAAAGGGGAGGATTTTATGGTCCCACTGGGTGGAGAGGCTGCCAGAGGAGTCCCTGCTTGGCGTGGGTTCCTTTTGCTTCCTGATGTGGGCTGGGGTGCCCTGTGGGCATCCTCTCTTCTGGGCGCCTGAGCTGTTTGGGTGAGTGTGGATTGCACTCGGGTGCCTGGTATTTTACGGGGCTCGGTGGGGAGGTGAGAGAGAGGGTGTGTCTGCATGCTGAGTGTGTGGTGGTAGATGCTTTCTCCCCCTCTTCCCCCATCCCCGCTCCCCAAACTCTCAGGCCTCCCATCCACTCAGCTTGCTTTGTTCTTTGCTCCCTCCTCACCTCTCCCTAGAGCACCCTGAAGAGTGCCTGCAAGGAGTAGGTTTTGAATGCTGGGGAGGGCCCCATCTCTGAGGCCTTCCATTCTCTGTTCCCTCCCAGGTTGGGAGAATGTGGATGAGAGCAGTTCCCAGCTTGTTCCCCATCTTCACATCTGGCATGGGAAGTGCCCTTTCCGCTCCTTCTGCTTCCGGAGAAAAGCAGGTAGTTCAGGAACCCCGGCCCTCTCCTGCGTGTTAGTCCTGGAGCTCCGCAGCAGCTCGTTCAGCCATGCACAGACCTCTTAAAGGGCGGAGCCACATAGCTCTTGCAGAGAAAGAGACACGGGCGGGCAGCATCGGGCCCTACACCTTTAGATCTCCAAAGCCTTCCCACAGAGACCTTTTTGCATCGCCTGCTTTGAGCCCGGGCGTTTACCTCTTTCACCTGCCATCTCCTCTCGTCTTTGTAGGTAGTGAGAATGAAGACTGCTCGACATTAACCAATGAGATCATCGTCACCATGCACACCTTTCAGGATGTGAGTTGGAGCTGAAGGGCAGAGGAAGGGCAGAGCTGGGGGTGGTGGTTCCTGGGTAAAGTGGGCAAGGGGCTTGTGGACCCGGTAAATATGGCCCTAATCACATGCCAGGTGATGATGGCATTTCTTCAGGGCTTAGGTTCCCTGGCCTCCAGGCCACTTTCTGTTCCTGATTCTTAGGTCTGTTTATGGGTAAATCTCGTACAGGGTCAAAGAGCCAAATCCTAGAGTAACCTCACTCCCAACTCAGAGGAACTTAGCGTCAAATAAAAGAGGTTTCTTTCTGGACTGACCGTTCACATCTGAAGATGATGTGTGTATCGCCATTGTGGGGAGTGGCGGGGTCTTTAGTAGGAGAGATCTGGGTTAGCTGTCTCACTGGCCCCAGGAAAGAGCCAGAGAAATCAGGCTGAGAGTCTTTGCGGAATCTTGGTGGCGTCTTAATGGAGTGTAGGCAGATACCCCCCAGGGAGGAAGAACTCAGGAAGGAAGAATGGAGGATGGAGGAAAGTATGTCTAAGTTCAGTGTTTCTCTACTGAATGACCTCCTGCCCATGGCCCCAGCTGGGCTTCTCCTGGTGTCCACGGATGCCCTCTGTTTGGTTTTCAGGTCCCAGAGCTCACTGGGCAAGCAGTGAGAGTTTTAGGGCTGGGGGAGCAGAAGCTAGGGATCCTGAGTGGCTGGAGGCTGTGTCCTGGTAAAATGGCTGTGGGTGACAGACTGAAGGAGAACTGAGGTATGGACGTAGGTTCTCCAGCTTCCTTCTTGGGGTGATGTCTAGGAGCTTAAGTGTGTTCCCTAACCCTCTGTTGACTCAGGGCTTGGAGACGAAGTACATGGAAATCCTCAGATTCCAGGCATCGGAAGAGGAATCCTGGACCATGCCACCCCCTGTCTCTCAGCCACCGCCCTGCAACAGGTGAGGCAGAGGGAGGATTGCTGGGGCTGCAGGTTTGAGATCTCTGCCTCCATACCTTCCGGATGAGTGCAACATTGGAAGGGAGCATATGGGACCAGACAGGTCTGGTGATCCTCCCCTCCAAGAACACCCTTCCCTGCTGCAGGCTGCCTCCTGAGCTCTTTGAGCAACTGCAGATGCTGTTGGAGCCAAATAGCATCACAGGCAATGACTGGCGCCGACTGGCCTCCCACTTGGGGCTCTGTGGCATGAAAATCCGGTAAGGAGGACTGGGATTTGGGATTCTCAGGACACTGGAACCGGAACCCTGTCTGTGTATGGAAGACACAAGGTTGTTCTTCAATGTGTCTCCTTGTCTTTTACCCAGAGTACTTTTGATGCTGCTGGTTACCACATATGTAAAGGTTTTCTGCCAACACTAAATAGCTCTCTGCCTCATCAGTTTGGTGTCCTACAGTTTGACTCAATGGTGACACTATCTGGAGGGTTGTGTTCTCCAGACACTAGCATCCAAATCCATAGATGAAGGATCAGCCCCACAATTCCCCCACCCACTTTTGACACTCCAGTGGCAAGACCAGGCTCTCTCTTGTGCTTGTGTGCAATTGACTATAAATTGGAGATTCCAACAATCCCCTCATCAGCTTCTATTTCATTGAAATAGCCACTTTTATTGGCCAGCTTATTAAAGGCTATAATAAAGATTAGATGGACAGCTGAAAGAGAGGCATAGGGCAAAGTATGTGGACAGGCAAGTGGAGCTTCCATGACCTCTCTGGGACACGGCATTCTCAGCACCACCCTGTGTTCACCAACTATCGCTAGGAAGATCTCCCCACCCTCGACTACTGTGAACTTTATGGACGTTTCATCACGTAGTCATGATTAATCATTAACTACTTTCACTTCTTCTCTCTTCTTGACAGAATGGGGGGGGGCAGTGGGGGTAAAAGCCCCATGCTTCCAATAATGGCTTGGTCTTTTTGGTGCTCAGCCTCCATCCTGGAACCATCCAGAACCCCACCCAGCATCACCTCATTAGAACAAAAGATACTGTAATGGTCCTTGAGATTCTAAAGGATTTAGGAGCCCTGTATTAGGAACCAAATATTAGAACAAACAAACATTACAACATTGCTGCTGCTATTATCATTTAGGGAATGGGAAGGGTTTGGGGAGTTCTATGCTAGAAACCAGGGGCAGAGCCCAGTATATATGTTTGTTATTATAAATCATTAGAGCACAGCCAGAGACAAAGGAGCTACTTAGCAGAAAGATTGGCTGCTCTCTTCCACATCCTTCAAAAAAAGGCTATTCTTTCCATTTATCCCTGTACTCTCAGCACCTAGAAGGTGATCAACAAATATTTTATAACAAACCAACTAGCATTCAAGCAATCGGGCCCATTCTGTGCCTGTCTATACAGAATGGAGGACTGTATGGTGATGTATGTGAAGCATGCTCCCAAGTGTCTGGCGTATGTCAATTCAATAAATGTTAGCAGGAATGGGGACGTGCAACCATGCTCTCTGTCAAGAGAAATCAGTAGGAAAATTCTGAGCTAATCCCCAGAATCCAGACTCCATTGAGTACAGTGATCAGGGAAGGCCACCTGGGAAATGGGCTAGAACTGTACCTTGAACATGGGATAGATTTCACTGTTACCTATTTATTAAACATTTATCAAGTATCCAGCCTTGAGGAGCTATACTCCATTGCAAGTTACAGAGAGCTTAAAAAATAAAGACCAGTGTTCCTTTTTCCTTATCATATGTACCAGCACTGCACAACAGTTGAAAATAAACCAACACAAAACAGCTGAAGCAAGAGTAACAAGGAATTATGAGTATAGGATGATTACTTCCATCTGGGAGCTGGGAATTTGGGCTATGGAAGGGAAGCAGGTGGAGGGGAAGGGGCTCAGCCTTTCCTGCTGGGGAAAGTGCCAGAAGTGGTTGTGGGAGTGGTGTGTACAAAGTGGGAAGAGGGATGGGCTTGAGGAAGGAAGGTTCAGGATGGGAGGAGGGGAGAAAAGGTCAGAGGAAAACAGGGCAAGGTCAGGGTTTGGATGAACAGAGAAGTGTAGACTGCAAAGTTTTTTTTTTTTTTTAAAAGGAAATGTCTAGTTTATTTGACTTTAAAAATAGAAAATTTATTGTATAATCTGTTCCATGTAATCATGTATGAGAAGAAAAAAGGTCAGATAGTTTACCAAAATTTTAAGTGTTCATATCTGAATGAACCATATTGAGTCAATAAATTGGAGTTATAGTTTTCTTTTTTTTTATTTTTAGTACCATTTTTTATATTATTATTTTTTTATTACAAAAGTTTATTTTTACATCATTTTGTAAATTTTTTTTCCATCTTGATTGTAATCCCGTGGATTTCCCATCACCAAGTCACCTGTGTGCCATCACCATAATCCTGCATTTCCCATTCCCTCCCCCCCCCCTTTTTGATCCCATTCCCCACTCCACCCCCACAAAATGTCTCTGGTATATGTCTCTGGTTGTTCATTATTTTTGTTATTTTCTCGCCTGGTCCATTATACTCCTGCTATGAGTGAAACCATCTGGTATTTTTCTTTCTCTTTCTGGCTTATCTCACTAAGCATGATCTTTTCCAGCTCCATTCAAGTTGCTGCAAAAGACATGTTTCTTGTTTTTGGTTGCTGAGTAATATTCCATTGTATACATGTACCACCTCTTTTTTATCCAGTCATCTACTTTTGGGCATTTGGGCTGCTTCCATGTTTTTCCAATTGTAAAGAAAGCAGCAATAAACATGGGGGTGCAGGTATCTTTTTCAATAAGTGTTTTTGTGTCTTTTGGGTAGATACCTAGGAGTGGGATTGCTGGGTCGTAGGGAAGCTCCATGTTTAGCAGTTTGAGGAACCTCCAAACAGTTTTCCATAGTGGTTGTACTAGTTTGCATTCCCACCATAGACTACAAAGTTTTTAAGCAGAGGAGGGTCACGGTAAAAGCCATGGTATAGACTAACGTGTGTGTGGGCAGGATGTGTGGCGTGAGAGAGGGGTGAGCCAGTCAGCAGGCTGCAAGCAGGAGGGTGGGAATATCTTTTGGGTGGGGGTGAGGTAGAGAAGGCAATGAGAGAACATCAGAGGTGGAAGCAACCTTAGAGTCCTCTCATCCAGGCCCTTGGTATAAGCAGAGGAAACTCAATCCTAGCGAGAAGTATTCCTCTGAGTCAGGACGCTCTCAGGTTCAAAGTCCTGGGTCCTCCTATCTCTCTGAGCTCCCTGAAAAGCAGGCAAGGCAGGATGAGGACCAGGGCTGGGAGAGAGGAGGGTGTGTGACTGCGAGTGGATCTCACCTCAGTGCCCTTCCGCCCTTTCTCCTTCTCTCCCCACCTCCCGGATAGTTTCCTGTCCTGCCAGCGCAGCCCAGCGGCGGCCATCCTGGAGCTGTTTGAGGAGCAAAACGGCAGCTTGCAGGAGCTGCACTACCTCATGACCATGATGGAGCGGCTGGACTGTGCCTCCGTCATCCAGAAGTACCTAAATGGGGACAGCTCATACCCAGTCCACAGGCTGGCCCTGGTCAACCAAGCCCTCGAACTGGATGAGAAGCTCTGAGCATCCCCTGTACTGATGCCAGGCTGCGTGGAACGCTGTCTGAAGGACACTGGGCACTGGGAGGCTGTGGTATTTGATCCAACACAGAAGAATACAGCAGATGGCTCTGTTAAAAAATATCATCAGAATCTTTGGAAGATGTCTGGGGTCATTGATGAGGCCAGAGTGCCTTTGACAGCCTTGCCTGGTCAGGACCATCCTTTCAACCTGCTTTGTCCTGCTTATATTGTAGATCCCCTCCTTGCCGGCAGGGGGCGCAGAAGTCCAGGGGATGGAGAAAGCACAGCGGCCAGTCTCCGGAAGCTATTTAATAGCCCAAAGGACTGTTAGGGTGCCCTTGTGGCACACTTTGGGGACCGGTCAGTACACAAGTATTCACTGAGCACTTAGTAATACCCAGAACTGGGCGGGTAGCATGGGGAATACAGAAATATATAAGATAGTGTCTGGAGCCTTGAGGAAACCACAGTTCTCGTGTGGGAAATTTTAGGTCAACCCTAAAATAGCACATACCTTGTAGTTAGGGGATGTAGTATGAACTCATGCTTTGGGAATCGAAAAGGCAGGGAGCGGAGTGAGAAAGTTTCATGAAAGATGCTAGAGAGAATTTGGGCTTGCAAAGAGTTCTCCATGCGGAGAGAAGACTTGGGATGTTGGAAGGGTAAAGTATCCTAATCAAGGGGGCATGAGGTGGCTATCACAAAGTTTCACGCCAAATCTAGAAACGGGCAGTTATGCCTGGCTTTCTATCTTGCTATCCTTCACCTCTTTTTTTCTCCCATGACTGCCTCATCTTCTCTGTCATTATCATAAAAGATTAAAGCTTAAGAGACAATTCCAAAGTATCATTCTTGCCCATTTTAAAATCTCCTTATCTCGAAGGGGTGTGTGTTGTGAGTCTCTGACTTCGTTTTGCTATTGCTATCTCTGCAGTCACCCCGTCCTTGAATCTGCCTGTCTTTCTGTTATGCACTTTATGTCTCTGCCTATGGTCCTGTCTTTGTGTGCTTCCTTCTCTCTGAAACCCTCAGTCATTCCCTTTAGGCAAGTGTCTCCGAGACAATGTTATGAATCAAAGACACTTGACAAAGCTTAGGATTTTGTGGGTGGGGATATTTTCATATGCATAATGGTCCAATTTAGGGTCAGGAAGTGAAGACTAGGGATAAAGAACACTCAATTCAGTCAAATAATATTATTTCAGCATCTAACTAGGTGTTAGAAAAGAGATCAAGAGGCGGGGTCCTGAAAAAAGAACACAGGTTTTGTTTGACTCACTTCTAGCAATTTTAGTTTGCAAACAGTGTTAATTTTTTTTCAAGGACAGGAAATCTCTTTGGCAGCACTAACAATTGCTACCATATTTAATTAAAAACATTAAAGCTTTTTCCATGATGAACAACATTGTGTAATAAAATATGAAAATTGCTTTTCTTTGTTACAAACTGTATTTTGCTTAGATTGATAAATTTAGGTATGGGGTTGAACTGCTGTACTTGGTAAAATTATATCTACAGGGGCAGATTGGGGGGAAGCCTTTTATACACTATACTTCTCATGTGAAACTTGTTTGGGTCCAATATGGTAAATAAAGGAGGTTCACTTTTTTTCTGTTAAAAACAGAACTTTCGGGGCACTCCCTGGTGGCACAGCAGGCTAAAGCACAGCACTAAGTAGCTAAAGCCACTTCAGCATGAGTTTGACCTTCACCCCGAGGTGACCCACATGGCGTGGCAGACCTCTCCTGACCTGCCCACTGCTCCCCTCAGCAGTGTACTTTGTTGATCTGCCTGTTCTGCTCTCTACTCTGTCTCTGGTGAATCCTCTGACCGCCCTTGCACCTCTGGCCTGTACCCCAGTTCTGTATGCGTAAATAAATAAATCTTAAAACAAAACCCAGACCTTTTCAGAGGGCTCTTTTGCCTCTTCTCTCTTTACCACCTACCCTCACCCCTTCCACTATTCTCCTTAGTCTTTCCACCCCACCAAGGTCTGCTAGCTACTCCAGGTTGGTGCTTTGGTCTTCTCTTGGTTCTCTTGGTACAGGGTTAGCGTCTCTCTCCCTTAGAGACCCATCACAGTGTTTCCATTTTCTTCCATTGTCCCCTTCTTGCTATCCATACCAGTCAAAGGAATCTTTACTTTTTGTTCCCCACACATTAAGTTTTCTGGAGTTGTGAATCAATGCCATGGTGTGGTGGTGTGTATATCTTGCCCTCTCTGTTTTTCCTGGTCTCTGAGCTTTTGATGGACTAGAAGACCTCTGGCCCAGCTCCAATTCCTCAGAGTGGACTCAGTGTCAGCAAAGGGAGGCTTGGCCTTTCAGGGTAGGTGGCAACTGCCTGATCTTTGTGGCTTAGCTCCCTTCTCAGTTCCAACTGACCTGTTTGCCTGCATTTTTGCTGAGGAAGGCGTGTTCTGGGGGACATAAGGGCTGTAGCTCTGGTGCACAGTACTCATTTCTTTGGCTTTCGTTTCTTCACCCTTGGAGTGCAGTTACCACATTTGAGGGTTTCCATGGACCCTCTTTTGAGTCCATGGAACAATGCAGAGACGTCACACTGGTCACTCACTGACCGTAGACATTGACTGGGATTGTGTGTGTTTGTCTTAGAGAAACTGCCACTGCTTGTAGCCTTATCTTGCTCCTTTTGATGGGTGGTTATGTGGCTGGTTCCTACAACAGTGTATTTGTGACTTATGCTTTTAAGCATGTTTATGTCTAAACCTTCTCCTGTTGGGTTTAGCGCTGGAAGACAGGCTTAGCTCTGTAGGGTTAGATGCTCAGAGGCAACACACACCCTTGCCACCCTATCTGGCTGCTGAGTGCTTTCGTGCCACTGTTCATATCTGACATCTGTGCTGCTCATCTGAAATGTAGTGAAAACTACACATACTTAATTTTTACATTATTTAGTAGTAATGAAAAAAAAAAAGAGTTGAAGTCAGTTTTAATAATATGTTTTGTTTAACCTGTTACACAATACCCAGAACATTATCCTTTCCACATATAACCAACATCAAAATTATTAATGGTATATTCTAAATTCTTTTTATTATATTTAGAATCTAGTGTATATTCTGCATCTATAGCACATCTCAATTTGTGTCAAAAATATGCTAAATTTTCATTGGAAATTACTTGATCTGTATTTAGCTTTCATAAGATTTACAGATGAAAAAGCACATTTACATAGACAAGTTAAGCCAAGAGTTTTCCAAAAATCATCACTTTTAAAATTTAAATCAATTCAAATAAAATTTTAGTTGCAGAAGTCTGGCAAGAGGGCAGCAGAGTGAATGCCCTGGTCTCACCTCTTCCATATTCTAACAGCTGGATGATAGCAGACAAAGCCAAAATTCCCTGCAGGAAAATGGGGAAGGGAGAGGAAAAACTAATTGAACTGTGTTTGCAGTGATACTAGGGGAGCATAGCCCACTAGAGGGAGGGACAGCTGCTGTACAAAACCTCCTACAGTTGCTGGCTCAGGGCTGCAGACCAATGTCAGGGACTGCTCTGTACTGGGTGAGGAGGCACAAGAAGGTCCCCAGAACAGGGGACACACTGTTGGAGAGATATAGGAGCCAGGATGCAGAGACAGGGATTCTGACTAGAGCCTGAGGCTCTTGATATAGAACAGCTGGAGCCTGACCTATGTGGCAAGGTTAGAAGGGAGGCTTGTGGGGGAGGACTAGGTGGATCACCTGCCTCTCCTCACAGAGGAGGCTCCTGTTCAAAGCCAAGGCTGGAATATTCAAAACACCTGCCACAACACATCTCAGGGCTAAAAATCAAGATTACAAATGAATATGCGCATAAACCAAGCCTTGAGCACCTGATAATAGCAGGGCAAACACCCCAGGATAAGAATCTTTGATGGAAAAGAGCGGAGAACAACTCTCAGCCTGTCACCCCACATGAACTATACACAGCACCACATCCAGCGCTACATGTAGAGCTCAAAAACAGACTAGTGATGGACGCTGATGTGAGGCTATACAGGACTTAGGAGGAGCCGACTAATAGGAGGTGATCACTGTGACTCCCCACCACACAACCCTGGCACCCACAGCTCAGAAAGAAGCTGGAACCTCCAGTGCTCACTGGAGGTGATCCTTTGGTATCCTACTGCCCAGCTCCTTTTCAACCTACTTCCCATTGCTGGTACCAGTTCTTCGATTACTTCAGTAGGTACAAAGTCAATAGTCTAGTAGTCTTTTCCTACTACAACCAATAAAAAATGGAAGTGGAGAGATAGCATAACATACATCAATACTGGAGCAAAAAATAGCCTGAGAGGATTATCAATTCAGCAGATCTGTTGAACATAACTGAAGAGGAGTTCAAGACGGTAATTTTAACAATACTTCTGGAATTAAAACAAATAAACAAATGAACAAACAATAGAGGATAAAGCAGGCACAGAATAAAGAGAAAGAAAATATGAGGTAGTTACAACTAGAATAATGGAGCTAAGAAATACTATAATCAAATTAAAAACTATAAAGATTGGTCTCAACAACAGGAAATTACAAGCAACAGAGAGAATTAATGAGCTTGAAAGTACAATGTTAGGGTCCTCCCCGTGGCCCAATCAGTTAGAACACAACAACGCAAGCTGGCCACAGCCACTTCAGTGTGAGTTTGATCCCCGGCCCTGGAGGTAACCCAGATGGCGCGGCAGACCTCTCCTGACCCGCCCACTGCTCCCCTCAGCAGTGTACTTCATCGATCTGCCTGTTCTGTCCCCCATTCTGTCTCTGGTGAATCTTTTCACACATCATACCTCTGGCCTAGATCCCAGTTCTTGTATGAAATTGAATTTTTTTTTTTAAATAAAGAGATTATTCTTTAATCTCTTGGGGGATCCCAGAAGAAGAGAAAGAAGAAAGTCAGAGAAGTTCTCTCTAAAGAAATAATCACTGAAAACAATCTCAGTCTGGAAAATCAACCAGATGGCATGATCCAAGAGGCTTAAAGACCTCCAAACAAAGTAATA